AAAAAAAAAAAAAAAAAAAAAAAAAAAAAAAAAAAGATATGTGGAGCTGTAAAAAGAGGTAGTGGAAAGAAAATGATAGTGAATGAAAAGGAACAAAATAATATTTAATCATGATTTATTTTTATCAAAATCCTGCAAGTGCTCTAATGATGAAATGACCTCCTTGTAGTTTTAATATCCACGACAATGAGAACACCTACAAAGATATTCTAACACTTAAAGGAGATTTTAGGTTAAGAATTTGGTTGGAGTAGAATGGTATTTAGTGCCTATATATATGTAATAAAATTTATACAATCACAAAATAATAATAAACTATCATATATATTCACATTTATAATATTTATATTAAAAGTCATATCAATCGTATTTTTATTAGTTGACATTAATTTTTTAGATAAAAACTAAACTCTTTTAATTTGTATTTACATGCTATTCCTACAACTAGGGAGAACAAGAGACAAAATCATCTTTGTCCTTATCTAACCCAAAAAATTAATCAAGTTATTTTTTCAAACTCAAATTCAACTTGATCAAAAATCAAAATATATGTGAAAAATTGGGTCAACTCCATGTTTTAACTCAATATGTTAATATTATGAACATATGTATAGTTAAATTATGAAATAAAAGAAATATAAAACCTGAATTAAGATATTTTTAAAATAAATAATGTCCTTATAAATATAATATAATATTATACAAATATCTATTAAAAAAGTTTTATTATTAATACATAATTATTTTAAAAATTTATATATTTTAAAATAACAAAAAAGACGGGTTGACATAATTAGAACATAATTCGAACTCATCCTAAAAATTGTATTGGGTCTAATTTTAAGACTTGAATCCGACTAAATTAAAAAAGGACTGAATTGAATTTGTGGCTGATTTAGGTTTTGCTCACTTCTACCTACAACTATAGTTAAGCAAATTTTTCGTTTAACTACCTCAAACTACTAAAGTTGTCAAACAGATGGATTAGGCAGAACTTTCTTGGCCCATGCAATTTCAATTCAGTTAATCGGATCAAATCAGCTCATGTACATGTGAGTTGTTATTTTTAAGGCTCAACCTGATACACTAAATCGAACCACCAGATCAAATGAACATATATAAATTATGCATAATTTTTTTTTATAATTATATATTTACAGAGGGCTGAAACCCAATAAAAAATTACACCAGAATACGAGTGATAGAAAAATTCATTACATCTCTTTACTAAAAAGACAAAAATTCCACAAAAGGGTTATCTAAAATAAAATTTTACATCATAAAAATGAGCTAAAAAAGTCATGTGATCGACCACTATATTAGTATCTCTAAAAGATGAAGATGTTGAAGACTTTATTAAATTGATATGTCTCTAAAATCCAACCCGCCATCCTTCTTGGCCATACAAAATTTATTCCAGACAGTTATGCATAAATTTTAATTTATAATAAAATATATTTCATTTTTTCCTCAATTTGTGGTAAAAATTTATCTAGATTCCCTGATCCTTGTGTCCAGCTTGGTTTTGTCCGTATGGCATCGAGCATAATAATAGACAAAAGATAATTTCATTTCATGTTACTGTGTAACAGCTGTGGTGTCAAAGCATATACAGCTGTCAGGATTGGCTTCTGTATCCTTTTCCTACTTTTAAGCTTTCTTGCTAGTTTCTCTTCCCATTTCACAATGTTATTTATCCAAATTCATACATCACCATCTCCCAAAGCCTAAGTCGGCGGCGACCCACTTCACAAATTCTTGGCTGTTATAATAATAATCCAGCACTAGTAGTTTTCCATCCATGCTTTCAAAAAATCTCAACCCTTTCATGTATCCACTATTCAACCTTCCCAATAATGCAATCTAGCTAGCTACTCCCAATAAAATCATCCTCCTTTTACTTTATTAGCCTCGTATATATATAATCAAATTCTACTAGGTAGTGGTAGCTACAAATCTACAATTAGCACCTATGATATGGCCAACAAAATACGCAGTTAAATGTAACTTCACGCTCTTCTATTATCCCACTATCCTTAACTTGTTTTGCGTGATGTTTATTGAACCATGAATGACCAACCGTACGTGTAGCAAATAATAAATTATGTTACTCTTATGGTAATAGTGGTGTATTCAAAAAGAGGGTCTCACTTTGACTTATTTTATTAATCATTATTATACTATATAACATATGGTCTAAAAATATAAGATTGGCAGAAGACAAGACTCGTATTTATAGCTTAATAAAAGGCTGCTTCACTTTTGAATCTGAATAGTTCATCTCATCACGAAGCAAAAACACTTTGTCGCCTTCTTTTCACTACCAAATGTCTTCATCAGTCACTAATAAAATCTTTCAATTTCAGGTCTCTTCCGTGTCGCATCCCTCTATTCAATATAATTAGTTATCTTATCCGTGCTATAAGCTTGAAATAGAGTAGAGCGTTGAAATTAAATTATTTGGAATATTGTTATATTTTTATTTAACATTCTTTATCCACGCACACTGAAGAGTTTAAGCCCCCATTGTTTGTAGTATTCTCTTTGATTTTTACTATAAATAAAGGCTCCTAGTTTCACATTCCATGCAGTACTTTTCTTTGCTATAACCCTAAACCATGGCTCTCTCTAAGCTTCTAGTTGCATCCCTTCTGCTATCCTTTGTCCTCTTCCATCTCGTTCATGCTGATCAACCGGTAAAATTTAATTAAAGATCGATACTGCTTCGTCATTTCTATATGTATTATTAGTCATTCAATCTGTATAGTTTAAATAATCCTTATTCATTCACCTCATGATTCACAAGCTCCAATTTTTTTTTAAATTTTTTTAATTGATACATGCTTTTGAAAATCCGCAGGTAGCCGCACAGACTGAGGGTTCTTTTGTTCAGCAGATAGGTATGCCATCATCAGCATCTGATTCTATAGATTTGATTTTTTAAAAATAATTTCCAAAGTTTGAAGGTAAGTTGAATGAAATGATTTCAGATTGCAATGCCGCATGTGGTGCGAGGTGCCGTTTAGCATCTCGTCAGCGCATGTGCCACAGAGCCTGTGGAACTTGCTGCAGACGGTGCAACTGCGTACCACCGGGAACTTCCGGTAACCAAGAAGTGTGTCCCTGCTATGCCAGTCTCACCACCCACGGTGGCAGACGCAAGTGCCCTTAGAAAGTTCAACGCCATCGCCATCTCATGCATGATGCATGATGCATGATGCATGACGAATCTTATTATACTATATATGCATCGTTTCGTTTGCAATGTCATCATCGTATTTTACGTGCTATAAAATTTCAATATGTGTGTGCCAAGACGTACTAGCGTCGCCGCAAAATAAACTATATATGCATGTTTAATCTTTGTGAGAGAGTCTGCGAGTACAATAATACATAAAGTATTGGATTGTGATATAATCAAACTTGTATACTTTGTAGGGTTGTTCCGCGGTTTTTTTTTTTTTTTTCTAACTTATCCAAACCAAATAAAAAATTTAACTGGAATTCAATTTAATTTGATTTAAATGAATTATAAAATTTAAATTAATCTAAACTAATTTCTTTTTATTTGATTTGGTTTTTGTGATTTTTTAATTTTATATTTAAAATTAATTAAAAATATATAATATTATGTTATTTATTTAAGATCATAAATTAACAATAAAATTAAAAGTATACAAATATTTAAATATTTTAGTCATTTAATATATTTAACACCAATTCTTATATAATTATTTCAGTAAGAATATTTCTTTAATATAATTTTAATTATCATATTAAATAATTTTTCTCACATATATATATATATATATATATATTCACTTAAAAAAATTATTTTCAAACGTTATAAGTATGTCATGTTTTTCATTCTAAAATACAATTCAATAACTTACAATTTTATAAAAATATCCTTTAAATATTATAACGCATATTTGAAGAGAGAAATATTTTTTTTAGTAGCTTACAATTTTATTAAACACATTTTATGTTATGTATCAATTTTTCATATCTATATTATGTATTTGAAAGAAAAAAAAAAAATATATATATATATATATATGTTCTTACCGGAAATCTGCTGACAAGAAGATGACATGCTCTAGCCTGCTGCTCAAATCTTTCCTGTTGGGCTATATAATCTTCTACAAGTTCCTCTTGATCTCCCTATTTGAAATCTCGGCTTGCCCATTAGTTTGGGGGTGGTAGAGTGTAGAAATTCTATGAACAACCCCATACTTCCTGAGCAAGGCCTGCATGGATCTGTTACAAAAATGGGTGCCCTAATCACTAACAATAGCTCTAGGTACTCCAAACCTGTAAAATATGTTAAATCTGACAAAATCCACAACAACCCGAGCATTAATAGTTATGGTGGCTTTGGCTTCCACCTATTTTGAAACATAATCAATAGCCAAAAGAATATATGAAAAAATAAAAGAAACAGGAAAATGGCCCATGAAATCTATACCCTAGACATCAAAGACCTCACAAAATAACTTGGGTTACTGAGGCATCTACTATCTCCAAGAAAGGGATTCTCTTGCTCTTTGACACTGCTCATAGGTGCTACAAATCTTCCATGCATCCTTGAAGATGGTGGGCCAGTAGAAACCACAACCAAGCACCTTATGAGGTGTCCTTTAAATGCCAAGATAACCACCAAGTGCAGAAGAATGACAAAATTGCAGGACCGAATCAATCTCGTAGTCTAGCAAGCATCTCCTGATTACCTGATCACTGCACAAATTCCACAAATAGGGGTCATCCCAAACATAGTGTTTAGCATCGCTCTTAAGTTTATCAATTTGATCTCTAGATGCCAAAGGAGGGAAAATACAAGCAACTAAATAATTTACAATGTTTGCAAACCAAGGGGTAGGGGAAGGAATAGAAACAATTAACAAATTTTCATTAGGAAAATCATCTTGAATGGCCAAAGTGTCCTCTTCCTCAGCTCTCTCAATCCTACTGATATGGTCTACCACTAAGTTTTGTGCTCTACTCCTGTCACAGATGTCCAAGTCAAACTCTTGAAGCCAGAGCATCCATCTAATCAACGTAGGCTTTGAATCAACCTTCTTCAACAAGTACTTTAGAGCTGCATGATCTATAAAAATAATGACATGAGAACCAAGCAAATATGATCGAAATTTATCAAGTGCAAAAACAATTGCTAAAAGTTCATTTTCCATGGTTGTGTAATTTGCTTGAGCAACATCTAATGTCTTGGAAGCATAGTATATCACCCTAGGCAATCTGTCAACCCTCTGTGCTAAGACAGCCCCTAGTGCATAATTTGAAGCATCGCACATTAGCTCAAAGGGAACTGTCGAGTCTGGTGCCTTAATGATAAGAGTGGTAGTCAAGACTCTCTTGAGGCAATCAAACGCCTCCATGCATCTGTCATCAAAATTAAAATCAATATCCTTTTGCAACAAGCTAGATACTGGAAGGGCTTTCTTGCTAAAGTCCTTAATGAAGCACCTGTAGAAACCTGCATGGACAAGAAAAGATCGCACCTCTCGCACGCAAGAAGGGTAAGGCAATTGTGCAATAACATATATCTTTGCAGGGTTTACCTCAATGCTCTTACTAGAAATGATATGCCCTAGGACTATACCTTGCTCAACCATGAAATGACATTTCTCAAAATTAAGAACAAGTTTAGTCTCAATACATCTATTCAGAACTCGATCCAAACTATCCAAACATGCATCAAAAGAGGATCCATAAACAGTCTAATCATCCATAAACACCTCTATGCAATTTTCAAGAAAATTACTAAAAATACTGAGCATGCACCGCTGGATGAATAAAAGTGTACGAAAGACAAACTTTCACTCAAATACCAATATAAAATGAAGGGACATATTTAGTTATAAGAGAGTAGGGTAGCTATCCCACTGTTTTTTTTCTTTATCATTTATAAATAAAATATTTTAAATCACTAATTATAAAAAGCTTTCACTTCATCGGATTTGGTGAAGAGGAAGGGGAAGGCAGCAGGTGAGGATGTTTTATTCCTGTTTGATTCCGGTGCCACACATTCATTTTTTTTATTTTGATTGTGTAGGAAGATTGGGTTTGTCAGTGTCTGCATTGCACGTTGATTGGTATGTGTCTACTCCGGCTTTAGTTTTGTGGTGACCTCGGAGATGCGTGTGAGATTCCCGATAAAGGTGTTTGGTGGGAGGTTCTGGGTGAACTTGGTTATGTTGCCTATGGTGGATATCGACATAATCTTAAGGATGGATTGGTTATTAGCCCATCACATCCTTATAGATTGTGCTCGGAGAGAGAGTTGGTATTTTCTTAGTTAGAAGATGAGGTGTTGTTGCCAGCAGGTCAGGCTGAGCAATTGATAAGAGATGGAGCTGAATGCTTCATGTTGTTTGTCGCCTTGAGTTTTGAGACGGAGAGGGTCATCATTGGGATAAGATTGTTAGTGAGTTTCCTGAAGTGTTCCTAGATGATGTGCCAGGATTGCCACTTATGCAGGATTGCCAAATGCTTCCCAAATCCGGTTCTATCTAAGCTTCCCTCCTAGCATTTTGTATACACTTTTGATATATGAAATTTCTGAACCTATATTCAGCCAAATTTCTTCAAGAGTCACCGAGAGAGAGTGCCTTCAAAAACCCTAGGAAATTCCCTTAGTTTCCTACCTTTGAAGTGAGCAATCCTTTGATCCTTCATCCAAGTCATCTTCAATTCGGTTTTCAATCTCCAAAGAAGAGGTCCTAAGCAAAGGTGAAGTCAAGGAGGAGTTCATCCATCACTTTTCCTAGCTTCTCCATCATTTTTGGTATCTAGAGCAAGGTTTCTTCATTGGAGATAAGTGTTCTTGATTTTGGTCCGATTGTTCTTGTGTTTTGGTGTTCTTGTTTGTCATACTTTGAGTTTCTTTTCGGATCTATAAACTTTTGAAAACATTTTATCCATAGATCCAATTGTTGATTGTAATTTGAGTTTCAATCCACAATCAACACACATAGGTCCTATTTGCTTGTGTGTTTTGTATTTGCTTGAGTCTTCTCCATTCCTTAACATGTGTCCGTGATTGGACTTCATTCACATTGCATTAGTTTTATTTTTGAATCAATTGTTATGTCTTAGAAATCATGTGTAGTCCTTTTACATGTTGCAACTTTCTAGGATAGCTTGTTTGACCTAATTTTTTTTGAGTTGTTTGTGAAACTTTGTTTGATACATCTTTTGCTTTTTAAATCTGTGCCTACCTATATGTGCTTTTGTTTTACATGTTTGAGTTCATAATTTGCTATTAGTTCTAGAAAATTTCTTAGAGTTAGGTTTCTATTATGTTTTGTTAAAAGTTTTGTAAAAAAAAAATTACTAAACACTAATTCCTATTAGGTTTCCTTGAGTCTTATTGTGTGGCTGAAACTTTTAAAAAAAATTATACATTAAAAATAAAGGCAAAATAGAGGTGTATGTGTTCTAAATGCATGAGAAAAAAAAGAAGAATGAGTGCTTAAAAATTTGACCTAAAAACACTACAAAATTGTGAAGCACTAGTTACAATATGCATGTGAACACCTCTAGTTTTGTGTGAAAATTTTTGCAGCAGTTTTATTAGTCTAATACCAAGACCTATATGTGTTAAAAATGCATTTAAACTCCTGATTAATCAAAGAAAAAGAAGTGAAAAATATTTTGCAAAAAGAAAAGAAAGAAAATAGCAAAATAAAAAAAAAGCCAAAAGGAGTGAAAAAATTTGTATACTTAGCTCTCGGTTTTGGTGTGTTCTTGTCTATAATTTCTTCAGTCCAGCCACATATTTTGTGTCTTAATTTTGTTTCTAATCTTAGATTTGTTTTTGTAATCCGCTCTAGTGCCTTTGATAGGTTATCATTTGTGTGCTAGCTTCTTCTTCATTTTTTTTTTTGGATATCTTTGAGTCTTGTCTTAAACACTTTACTCTTTAATTTTTGGTATAAGCTTGTTAAATTGTGCTTTTGTTGCTTGTCTAGTTTTCTTAGACTAAAAATTTTGTGCTGGAAGTGGCCTCAAATCCTTGCTTAAGGACCAAACATTGACTCAACAAAAGTAGGAAAGGAATTGGACATAAAAGACTTTGAAACTTGACCTAATTTAGTGACCGAAAATTCCTAAACTACCTTCACAAGAGTGATCTTTCCATCTACCTTGTGAGCAGCCTACATTCATTACTTTGTTGTGTTATGTGTGCAGGGTCTAGGAGCAACAACATTCAAGGGTTAGTGGCGGATTGGAACACTTAAACAAGTGTTGGAAAACTTGAACAACAAATCCGTCACTAATTGGTCACTAAAGCCGCCACAAATTTGTTTTTAGTGTAGTTTAAATTTTTGCAATTTCTCTTGTATTTTAAACCAATTTGTAAAGCTTGGAGGGAGTATTAAGAAGCTGGTCAGGTA